TAAAATTTATATTCAGTTTATTTAAATAAATGCAATAAACTTAGCATTTTTTTGAAATAATTCGAAAAAATCCAATAAATCATATAATTATTGCATTTAAATATATTTCTATTATTCGTATTTGTATTTAATTTATTTTGAAAGTTTTCAAAATACCCTGATTTAGATTGATTATTATTTGTAAATTCAAAATATTGCTATTTTTTTATAAATATTTTGCCGTTTTGATTTATTTGTATCTATTTTGATTTGTTTCGAATTATTTTGAAATATTTAGCAATTTATAGCATATTTTTACACTATTTTTTCGTAATATTGCGTAATATATTTCGTAATATTACGTTATATATTGCGCAATATTGTGAAATATTGCGCAATTTTCTGAACAATATTATGTCCAGACCGTAATTATTGCGCAATATTTCGGGGTGTAATAACTTGCATAGGTTTACTTTAGTATATTTCTCTGATGTATAAAAATGCTTGAATTTTAACATACTAAGTTTTTGAAATTTTAGATTTTAATCCTGAAATTTGTTAATTTTTAATTAAATTCAATTATTAATTTTTGTTTTTCTAAAAAAAATCTATTAAAAGTTTGGCTCTCATCTAACTTTTGTTGTAGTTATTGAAAATTTTTAAAAAAAATTACTGATCTAAATTTTTATAGTACTACTTACTGTAAAAATTTCAAAGCTATATCTTTTAAATTTAAAAAGTTAGAGAGAGTGAGATACTTATGACTCTGACTGTATTTACATATTGTTACGTGAGTGACAGTAAGAGTAACGATCAAAAGTCAAATTAGACTATGCAAAACAATGTTAATGTAAAATTAAACTTAACTATAGCGTCATTATTACAATGAAAATAATATGATGTAATTGTATAGCATGTAAATATAAATAAGAAATGTAAAATAGAAGAAGAGAGTTAGTTTAGAATCTCATGCATAAAGAAAACAGAACCTGAATAAAGAGAATAATACTTAATTTGATATTAATTATATTTTGCTGTTATAAAATAAAATAATATACTAGCGAGTGTTCGATAGACCCATATTTAGTTAGATTTCAGTGCTAAATTAGTAGTATCGCTTAACCCCGTGACAGATAGGACCTGGGCAAGCAAAAGTTTATCACAAACAGAAATTAATATAGAACACATAATCTTCTATTTGGAAGCTGTGCTGTTATTGACATGGGAGAGTCAGATACGGCAAAACTATATTACTGTGGCGAAGGTGATGGTATTGAGGGTTTTCTTTATGACTTTGAAAGTTATTCTATGTCTAAAAATTGGAATGAGGCGACCAAGTGTAGAATGGTATGTGTTCATGTACCAGAAAGAATGAGAACGTGGATTCGGGAACTAATTAAGACGGCAAAGGATGACTGGGGTGCTCTGAAAGATGAAATAATTAAGAAGATTAGAGATGAAGATGATGAGGAAGTAAGGATAAAACGGTTAAAGTCGATTGTGCAAAACAAAGAGGAGACTGTGCGAGAATACATAAATAGATTTGAGGCTTACATGGAACCAATTAAGGATGTCGTAATAAAAGATGAAAAGCTTGACTGGTTCCTTGAAGAACTTAAGGATCCATTTAGGACTAGAGTAGAATTTCATTGCCCTAAAAAATATGATAATGCAAGGGAATGGGCTTTGCAAGTTGAAAATTATCGAAGAAAAAAGGAATGTAAAGACGTACAAAAGGATACAGTTACTCAAGAAGAAGTTAATCACTCAATTCAGAGTGAGATTGATGAACTGACAGCCGCTTTCAGTGATATTAAGATCAATCGTGTAGATCAGCCATCTATAAAACGTGAAGAAATAGAGTCAATTATCAAAGAAGTCTTAACAAGGACGAAGAAAGGCAAAGACAAGAATTGGAATCAAGCAAGTGGTTCAAGAGTAATAAAATGTTTTAGTTGTTATGAAGAAGGTCATATGGCACGAAATTGCCCAAAACAAAACTATCCCAAAGAAAATAAAAGTGATGATGTTTAGATTGTTGGGGCAGATGTACGTTTCATAGTACTTACGGAAGGACAAGTAGATGTAGAACAAGATCATCTTCAGGTTGAAATGATGGATGTTAATGGATTGTTTGATGTAAGAGCTTTAAAAAGGAAATTGGGAAGTGAATCGCAATTACCTTCTAAAAGAAATAGAATTCAAGAACCTGTAATTGCAAAACCATTATCAAAGAAAGATAATGTTATGATGTATATACCATTAACTGAGTTGACGCAGGAATTTAATACTTTAAAGACAATAGCTGAATTAGAGATTACGCTTAAGTTAGATCAGCTTTTTAACATATCACCCAAAGCTAGGGTAGAAGTCTTAAAAGCTTTATCCAGAAAAAGAAAAGAACAGGATATTGTAGATAAAAATATCAAGATTAGAATAGTTTGGGGAGAGCTATATAAGTGTAAACCTGAAAATGAGGTTGTACCATTACGACTAATATCAGTAAATGGAAAGGAAGTTGAAGCACCAATAGATCCTGGATCTCGATTAAACTTAATTCACAAGGATTTTGCTGTAAATAGGGGTTTAACATGGGAACAGGTATCTAGCAAAGGTAGAATGGCTGATAATCGTGTAAGCAAATTTGTTGGATTTATTCCTAACCTTAAAGTTGAAATGGATGGAATAAGTATTATACAAGGATTTTATGTTATGGAAGATGCTAGCTTCGAAGTTTTATTAGGAATGCAAAAGCACATTGTGATCTTCAGTGGAAAGGTAATGAATATTGGTGTACATTATCCAAACCTGACAAAGTAGTATCTTTTGTTGTTTCACGGGTACCAGAAGATTGGATAAAAGAAGCCAATGATGAGGCTGATGAATATGAAGTTGAGGAAGACGATTATGGAGATGATAATGATATTATGGCTGTAAGACGAATTAATATAGAACCATGTTTATCAGAAAGTAATTTAGAAAAGATGATATAATAGAAAAAGAATTAATATAAAGGAATGTGAATTAATTAATGAAGAAGAATTGGAAGAGCATGAAGGCCGTGTAGTATATTGGAATATTAATAATGAGAATAAGAATGGATTAGTAAAAGATTTAAATCCCTTATTAGTCAGAAGACTAACAAAAGAAAATTGTGAAACATTAAATATCGGATCTGCTATTACTATAGAGCAAAAGGCAATAATTGTTGAAACTTTAATTAAAGAAGTTCCAGAGGTATTTGCTTTTAATATGTCTGAGTTGGGAAAGACTAATTTAGTCGAATATGAGGTTAGAACTGGTGGAAAGGAAATTCCATCATTGCGACTTAGACCAATTCGAATGAATAATCCAGAAAAGGCTAAAGAATTCGAAGACCATTTGAAAGATATGATTAAGTATGGTCTTTTAGAGGAAGGTTCTGGACAGTATGCCTATCATTGTTTCCCTGTAGCAAAAAAGGAAGGGGAAACAGATAAAATAAGAGCCGTAAGAAATATGAAACTCTTAAACAAGTACATTATTAAGGACAGTTATCCATTACCTTTAATTCGGGATATATTAGAAAAAGCTGCAGGTCATGACTGGTACTCTAGTGTTGCATTTAAAGGGTACTAGCAAATTAAAATTAGAGACCAAGATCGAGATAAGGTAGCTATTGCTACATCTTTAGAAGTACTCCGATACACAGTAATGTGTATGGGATTAAAGAATGCTAGTGAAACATATCAAAGAATGATGGACATAATTTTAAAAGGAGATGAATGGAAAGAAGTATCTGCAGCATATCAAGATGATGTAGGTTTATGGACGAATGGTGATGTAGAATATCATATAAGTATTTTGGTGAAGTTGGCTAAGAAATTTAAAGATGCTGGAATTACATTTGCAGCAAAGAAATGCTATATAGCATACCGAGAGTTAGATATGTATGGCTTTATTGTTAGCAAGGCTGGAATTAAATTGAATCCAAAAAGAATTAAAAGGATACTAGATTGGAGTGAACCAAGAAATCAGAAAGAAGTACGATCATTTCTTGGTGTTGCCAATTATTATCGTCGATTTGTTAAAAACTTTAGCAAAATTGCTAGTCCAATTACAAGTCTTACAAAGAAAAATAATTCATTTTATTGGGGTGAAAAAGAAAGAGAAGCTTTTAATATATTGAAAAGAAAATTATCAAAAGAAATTATTTTAAAGGCTTCAGATTGGAATTCAGCAAAAGAAGGTAGTAAACCTTATAAAATGTATACAGATGCAAGTGAAACAGCATTGGGTGTAGTATTGGAACAAGAAGATCATGAAGGATTATCAAGGCCTATATCATTTGATTCTAGAAAACTAAATGCTCATGAGCTAAATTATACTCTTACAGAGAAAGAGTGTCTTGCTATAGTATTTGGTTGTAATGTTAATGAGCGATATGTTGCTGGAACAGTTTTTGATATTTATGTTGATCATCAGGCATTAGAGTGGCTCTTTAATAAAGTAGAACTTAGAGGCCATTTAATGAGATGGGTATTGATATTACAATCTTTTGAATTCCGTGTTAAATACAAGCCAGGTAAAAAGCATGGAAATGCTGATGCAATGTCAAGATATTCGGATCCACCTAAATATTTGGAGAGAAATGATGAAGAATTTTTGGATGCAATATTAATAGATAATATTAATTCTACTGTTGAAGATTTAAATGAAATAATTTATTACCTTAAGCATTGTTTATAGCGTACTGGAATAGATCAAGCAGATATATTGAGACTTCAAAGAAAAATGAAAAATTATTTTTTAATTGGAGACCAATTACACAAAAGAGGGGGGAAAGAAAGACCTCCAAAATGAGTAATTTTTAAAAAGAATAATAAATTACTTATCTTAAAGGCTAATCATGAAGGACTTGGTGAAGAAGGTGGACATAGAGGCATTAATGCCATAGCAAAAAAGATTTTAAGAAACTATGTATGGGCAGAAGGAAATATCTATAAGGATGCACGAGAGTATGTTTCAAGCTGTGAAGTCTGTCAAAAGACTGTGGCAAAGACAATTAAAGAACCTATCTATGTACAAGCTACTAGTTGGATTTTCCACAAATTGTATGTGGATTGTATTGGGCCTTTACCACGTACAGTTGCAGGACATGAACATATAGTAATAGCTGTAGAGGGTTTGACAGGTTATGTAGAAGCAAGACCTTTAAGAAAAAAGAATGCCAAATTAATTGCCCAATTTATTTGGGATGATGTAATTACAAGACATGGTTGTTTCTCAGCATTAATTTCTGATCATGGGACTGAATTTAAAAATACTGTTATGGAAGAATTGACTGCAAGATTGGGAGTTGATCATCGTTTTGTTGCTGCTTATCATCCTAAAGCCAATGGACGTGCTGAGAGGACAGTTCAGAAGCTCACTAGGATAATTATAAAAGTTCGTGTAACGTCAGAATAGATGGCATGAATACCTTCGTGGTGCAGTCTGGGCAATTAATATTACAATAAATGATCTTGGGTATTCACCATTTCAGCTTGTCTATGGACGTGATGCAGTGAATCATGTTGAATTGATACTGGAGAGCTATCAAGTACTTATGGCGAAGCAGAGTTGGACTACAGATGAATTATTAGAATTCTGAATGAAACAGGTATTGGGATTGATTCATGAATTAAAGGAAGCAAAAACAAATCGGAATGAAGTTAGATTATGATGGAAGGAGTTTCATGACAAGCGGTCAAAAGAGAAGAATTCTCAAATATTATCTGGAGACTTAGTTCTTGTTTACGATTCTACTTTGGATAATTCACCACGCAAGCTGGATTATTGCTGGGTGGGACCATACATAGTCAAGAGAAAAGGAAAATTCGGTCAATTCTACTTATCCGAACTAGATGGTACTGATTTGAAGGATCCATTCACACGAAATCGGGTAAAGAAATTCAAGACCAGACATGAGAGCTTCGGAGATAGTATGGATGATGTCAAGGATGACAATCAGTTGAGGTCTAGCTCATGTCACGTGAGTGACGATAAGAGTGACGATCAAAAGTCAAATTAGACTATGCAAAACAATATTAACGTAAAATTAAACTTTACTATAGCATCATTATTGTGATGACAATAACATGATGTAATTGTATAGCATGTAAATATAAATAAGAAATGTAAAATAGAAGAAGTTAGTTAGTTTAGAATCTTACGCATAAAAAAAAGCAGAACCTGAATAAAGAGAATAATACTTAATTTGATAGTAGTTATATTTGCCGTTATAAAATAAAAATAATATACTAGCGAGTGTTCGACAGACCCATATTAAGTTAGATTTCGGTGCTAAATTGGTAGTATCGCTTAACCCCGTGACAAATATTATCAGAGATTTTTAATTTCATTGGCTTGAGATGTCAACAAATATACACCAATCAGATCTCTTCGATGAATCAAGCTAATTTCAATACGTGTAATATTTTAAAGTAAAAAATATACGTTAAATTTAGATTAGAAATTAGAATATTTTTATATTAGAGCGCAGAACGCGGTTTCATAGTCGAAATTTCAAGTTATGCATCGATAGTTTTTTAAAAATTGTGATTTTCACGTTGTACTCATAGCAGATTCTCGATTTTGATTGGCTAAGAGCGATGAACAAAAAATTTGGACGGAATTACTCAGAATTCTACTAATATAACCACAGAGCCTATTAAGTGAAAATTGTTCCTGGGTCAATTTTATCATAATATTGCCAGAAATTTTTATTTTTGTAATGAAAAAAAATCAAAAGTTAATTACGGTAAACAATTATGTAATATTGGCCAAAATTTGCAGATCTGCGGCTGTTAACCAATCAAAAATTGAGTGACAATTTTGTGTCGATCGTTTGAAGAAATCTGATTGGTGCATACTTGTCTGTTTTATTTAAAACTAGTGCGACGGGTGGCGCATTTGCGCCACCCATCTTATTTATTTAATCAAATTACTGTTAAAGATGTTAAAGATCCTTTACAAAAGGAATTATTTATTGCAATATGCACAATATGTAATTA